GTTTGAACTGCCAGCCTTCTGATTAGCAGTCAAGTGCTTTAGCCACTATGCTACCAGAGCTCCCTAGCTTTTACAAATCCTATTACTAAAATGTTGCACTTAATATTAAAGACAACCATCTCCACTGGCATTCAGAATATTGACTGGTAGTTTACACACAGTCATGACTAAGTTGGTGAACAAGTTTCTCAGCCAGCAAAAGTTGCAGAATCCTAGAAAGGCAGAGAAACAGGTACACTGGTAGAAGTGAGAAGTTGCTACTGGAGTCTTGATAGCCAGGGAAGAGTGAGGAGGCAGAGCAGGGGAAAAGGGTAAAAAGAGTGTAGAGTTTAAAAAGTCCAGCAATCCAGAGCCATTTAATTTAGTTCCAGGAAAGCTAACCTACCCTATCCAAATAGGCCCTGTTGTCCTGATTATATTCCAGCTCAGTAAAATAACTGTTGTAATCTGACCTTGGTCAAGGCACATATCATTTCTTAACCTCAATATCCTCGTCTGTGAAAAGAAAAATTGATGTTTGTGATATTTAAGTGAAGTTACAGAAAAAAGCAGAACTGACATTTCTCAAGTGCTTCTTGTGCTAGGTGGTTTGGGTACTCATATGGCCCAAAGAGCTCTAGTGGTATAGTGGTTAAAGCATTTGGCTGCTAACCAAAGGGTCAGTGGTTCAAACCCACCAACTGCTCCATGGGAGGAAGATGAGGCAATCTAGTTCCATAAAGATTTATAGCCTTGGAAACCCTACAGGGGCCTCTGTGAGTTGTAATCAACTTGATGGCAGTGGGTGGTTTGGGTTTTATATGGCCTAGTTCACTGAATCCTTACCATGAGGTAGATATAATTGTCCTCATATTATAAATGAGGAAAATGAGGCCCCAGATCACATTCACATAGCTTCTTAGAAATGGAGTCAAGTGAATTATTTTTCCTGCGTAAGAAGGCAGAGATGTGTGCAATACATTTTGTGAATAGTTTCCTATTAAATTAAGAAGATGTTGGGTCATCTTGACAAAATTAAAAAAAGACAAACACAAAAACCCAACACACACAACC